TCCAGGAGGCATGCGGCCCAAGTGGCACAAGAAGCGCATAAAGCGCTTAAAGCGACGCCGTCGTCGCATGCGCCAACGCTCCAAGTAAGGAACGGTCTTGTTAAAAGCTTCGAGGATTAGTCGTATAAGTCCTCCTCCAGCCCTGCGTATTTTAGTTTGACACATGATTTGCATTATTTGAGACGAAGGTAAATAAAAGCTGCGAGTGTGTGTAGCTGATGTTTCGTATCTGTCGTGTGTGCGTTTTTGTGCCTTCAAATATTTTATTTATTTTCCCAGGTAGCCGGCCAAAATGCACCCACGAATCTCAGGACAGGGTGTGTTCCCGCGTTATGGCGGTGGATGGATGCACCAGTTCGGACACGTATATGCCCTTCAGCAAGAACTTCTCAATCCCCAGGCAAACAACTGGTTTCGAGCAATTGAGTTATGGCACACGGCTCGTCACGAGGGAGTTGCACTGAACTCTTCCCATTACACAAACATTCTTAGGCAATGTGTGCAGCCCGCTTCGTGGGAGGCTTCATTGAATGTGCTGAGTCAGATGCAGCGAGAGGGTGTCCGTGCAGATGTCGTAGGGGTGGGTTGCGCACTCGCTGCGTGCGCTGAAGCTAACAGGAGTTGTGAGGTCGAAGAGGTGTTCAACCTGTTTAGTGGTAAAATGAAGTTGGACAGTGTGTGCTACCTTGCGCTCATCAAAGCAAAGATTGCTCAAGGCAAATGGAGTGAAGCGATCGCAGTTGGTAAGCAGCAAGAGGCTGAGGGAGTTCATTTTCTTCCATATACATATACTCATCTACTGGAAGCTGCAAATGAAGCCGATGATGCAGTGTTTGCCGTCGAGTTGGTTAAACGCATGAGTGGGGAACAGTGGCAGTTGTCTGGAAAAGGGCATATTGCGTTTAAGAAGTTGTGTATGCGTCACAATTTGATCTCAGAGTACGATCGACTTGTGGGGAGCTTCGGCGACGGTGAGTCGTGTCCGCAGCTGCCCAGTGATTATTCATAAACCACAGTGAAATGACATCACCAATGCGCCGAGCGGCGCTGTGCACACAGGTGAATGTGAATGGTGAGGTTCGTCCTCTGCACTCGCTTGTCTTTTCCTATTGTGTTTAGGAAATCATGGGAAAGAAGAAAGCTCCCCCAACCACTTTGTATGAGCAGCACGTCAGAAAAACTCTCACGAGAGAGTACAGCGGCTCCACTCCGCNCGCTGAATCACCGCACAGTAATGCTGCACCCGAAGCAGAAGTAAAAGCAGTACAGAAGGAGGCTGGTTCGAATGAGAATCAAACAAGAAAAGAAACGCACTCACAACATGTAAGGCCATGCCATGTCTTTGGTGTACTCTGTGCTCTCGTGGTCGCCTTTCTCTTCTTCCACTTCGCGGAGGATTCCCATCAGAGCTTCCCGTGCCACTGTTGTACATCAAGTGAGCCGCTGGTGTCTGCTCTTGCTGGTAAGAGGTTTGGTCTGACAGGTATTCATCTGCATCATAAAGACCGCGCAGTGGTGGAGAAGCAGCTAGATGCGCTCCCGTCATGTGTTTCGCTTCGCCGCTTGTCTGTTCCCTTTGATAATGTCTCTTCTTTATTACAGCGCCTGAGGAAAGACGCTGCCGGTGCCAACTGTATTGTTTGGGTGGTTGAGGATTTATCCGTTGTGCACGGTGTGGCCAACGCACTGAAAGAACTTTTGGAGGACAACTCGCTAAGAGGTGTGTCCATCCTAACAAATGACTCCCGCGGGCTATTCGTTGTGCTCTCAGAGAGGAGCCGTGCACAACTGAAGGATGTCCTTCCTCACCGAGTGGTCCACATGTTTCGCACAATAGCGTTGTGAATAATTAAGATCTTGTCTCCTCTGTTATTGGCTCTGCTGCCGGCGTTGTCATCGGGTGACGTGGCGGAGGGAACACTGTCTCAGCGATGATCACGTGCATCGCTTCTTTTTTTCTTTCCTTTTAGC